GAAAGAATATAATATTTTCTTTCTATGTGCTTTGGAGAGAGGGAGTTGACAGTTGTGGGATCTAATGTACCATGTGAGTCTGGCTGCTAGTATTTCTTTTTTTGTTGTTGTTAAAAATTACTATGGGGCTCATTCTAATCTTTCCAAACCACATCATGAACATGCCCTGGTAATTGACATGTCCTCCTAATGTAACCTTTACTCGCTTATATTCATGCCTGAGGTAGCTTAGATTCATCTTCACTGCTCCAGCTTTAAAGTGACATGTTCCCTCTTCTTCCAACACACGTTTTGCTATGAATTAAATCTACCATGCCTTAATAAAAATGTGGTTGCTGATGCAACAGGTGTGGAATCTGTTCTCTTCCCATTGGTTACTTTGGACTGCAGTGGATGGAGGCATGATAGGTCGGTGATTAAAGACACCAAGTTTTTCAGCTGCAAAGCTGACAGTTCAGGTTTGAGACCCAAGAACTGCATGACAGGGTGATCTCCCAGTACTTGCCTCAGCTCCTGGCAGTTCTAAAGTATGCAAATGTGAGTAGATAAATAGGAACCAATTCACTGGGAAGATAACAGCATTCCATGCACCTTGGCATATAATTGTGCTGGCCATATGACCCTGGAAGGGTCTTTGGACAATGCTGGTTTCTCCGCTAACAGAGATAAGCATTACCCACCATGTGACTGGATAGGGAAAAACTTTACCTTTATTTCTAGGCTGCAGTGGACAAATCCCATCTTCTCCAATCTCTGGTCTATTATGTTCTCCTCACTTTTCCTACTTAGTCTCTCCCTTGAGTTTCAATGGGTTCCATGGAACACTTTGGGAATACATCTGTATAGGTTTGGGAATAAAGTTGAATTGATTTTCCCTGACTGGAAAGCAAGTGACTAAAAGTGCTAGAGATTTAAATCTTTACTTCATTTCTGTTCCATCTGTGTCTAGCCAATCATTGCCTCAGTCTAATGAAAAATAGACAAAACTACTACACCAGATACTAAAAAATAATGTTTGCATTATTCTTTGTTTCATGAATTTTGTGTTCTTATGCATTTAATATTTTTGACAGCTAGTTTAATTATTCTTAATTACTCCCTCAGAACTGCTTTTTAAGAAATACCAAGAAATACCATTGAAATTATCAATATAAATTCTCAATCCCTACAATGTCCTAAAAAGGATACTCATTTAATGTTGTTGGAAAGAAATGGGCAATTGATTTTAAATATTCAGGTGGGTCTTTTCAGTTGTAAAATGAATTGTACAGGCATTAACAAGATGGAGCTGGGTGAGTCCTGTGGCTAGATACATACTGGATGGTCCAATGGAAATCACTAAAACCAAATAAATATTTGTGGTACATCGTGCATGTAGTTCCAAAAAACTGCTGCAGAACATATACAACCCATATTTCATTTTGATCTCCTCCAAAGAAAGAGGAAAAAAATCAAGCATATCACCTGGATTTGGTTTCTGAGCAGTGACATTAGCAATATATGAATAATAAAATAGATGAATACCTGGAACTTTGTACTGTATATCTCTGGAACTGAATCATTTGAACTGAAGCCTGTTATGATACAAAAAAAAAAAATACTGGCACAACATAGCTCAGCATGACACTTGCTCTTCTCTGCATTGCTTGATTGCACAACAGGAATGTATTGGCATGCACAACTGACATAAGGTACAGTGAAGTTGCATGGTCAAGTATCCTCAACATTAGTCTATTCTCTGGATTAAATTTATGGGATATCTGACACTTGTTCTCTGTTTTGCAACTCTCCTTTACTCAGAATTATACCACACAGGGATAATCACTAGTTTTAGAAAAGGGGTCGTGCATTATTTCAACTCTAATTTTACATGATCCGTTCCATTGACCATATTAGCTTGGATAATCCATTTAGAACCACATCGTTGAATTATTATCTGGCATCTTGATTACCAATTTATGAGAGTCCTAACAGATCAATAGTCTAGTTTGTAATTTCTACCATCTGTAAAAAAAAAATGGCAGAACAGTACAAAGGCAATATACAGTTTCAATCTGGGGATTCAAGTGATTTGATTGAATTGCTGTATTGAACTGACCTTCCAAAATATTGAATTTAATCAAATAAATGTTCTCAGTCTAAAATGTTGAATGAGGTAAAATCAGGGATCCAAATAAAAATTTGGTGGTCAAATATTGGTGGTCAATCTGTGCATCTATAAAAAAAACATGACTTATGAATTTCTGGTCTTCATTTTTAATCTTTTTCAAGTCACACCAATATTTATTGAAGTCAGTAGTCATTTATTGATAATTTACTGGAGTCATTCTATTCTAAGGTAATTCAAAAACTTATTTCCATTCATTAGATCATCAGCCATTTATTTTAATTCATCTTATTTTGTGCTTCAAATCATAGTTAATAGTTATAAATTCTAAACTAAATTGAAAGCCATGTTCTTCTAAGGCATATTGGAAATGTGATTCTGGACAGTCTTTGTGGCTCCTGAACCAGCTGAGGATGTCTTGAATTGGCCCAAAATTGCACTGCAAGTATTTTCACAAAATTAAGGATGAGCAAAAGGATATTTGGCCAATACAATTAATTAGACAGATTTCCACCCATATTTAGATTGGACTACCTGCTGTTTATTCCCCCCACCCCCCAATATGCTCCTCCTAATTTTAAAAAGAATTAGAACCAAGACTACCTTGGCATAATGCTGTTAAAGTATTACTTTAAATTGTAACCCAACATTTTTATTACATTTCTTTATCATTGGCCAGAAGACTGTTGATAAACAAAACAGATATCTTCAGCCTAGTGATAATAGCTATAATTAAGAGTTTCAATTCACTATAAATAGCATGTGCACTGGAGAATTCTGGGAATTGAAGTCCATGCATCTTAAAGTTGCCAAATCTAAGAAACACTGAATTACTGGATATCTTCAAAATGTACCTAAGACATAACCCCAGGTAATTAGTTGAGAAATAGCTGGTGGTTTACTCACCTTGGAGCCATTTTTTTATAAAAATAAAAATTATTTAAAAAATTCAGTCAAGGGGCTTCCGGTGGTGATGCCTTGGTGAAAGGCTGAAGGGAGAGTGGTCTCCATCTCTGGATTTTGTTTTTTTCACTTTTGGGGACCTTTCGGGGCGTGAGGATTCTGGAGAGCCAAGCAGAGAAGAGGGGAAGCCCGGAAGACAGTGAGGCGAAACACGGTCGCCTGCCGGCAAGAAGGGAAACCCCTGAAAACCCAAAGTGAAAGTGTCTGTCATTTTATTATGGCAGACCCAAGGCCATGGCTGAACCGTGAATGAGGAGGAAGTGAGAAGATTATCAACAGAAAGTGTCACTGAAGTTAAAATCCCAAAGTTGCAACTGTGATGATTTGCCAAAAGTAAGTTTGAACTTGTTTCCGAGAAAAAAAGAGCTCCAGTGGGGGGGGGGTAACCCCATAGTACAGGGGGCAAGACAGTAAGAAAGAGCTTTGATTCAGCATTTTTTACAAATGGAAAGAGACTGAAGGAGAGGGGGTATAAGTTGGAAGTGAAAAGTTCTAGGAAGCTGAAAGGTGCAGATTGAAATAAGATGAGAACTGGTGAGAGAAGAAGAAAATCCAGAGAAGCCAGAGGAGGAGGGGGTGAAAAGAAGGTGATAAGGGAGGGATGATTGACTTCTCTCTGCTTCTTGGATGGAGGGTGATTACGAGACCAACATGGCGAGTGGAGAAGGAGAAAGTGAAATCTGATTGGGATGTGAGAGTGATACGAAGGAAAGAAAAGAAAGTCTTGGAAGGAAGGAGGAGGTGAAGTGGAAGTGGAGAGACATTTGAAAGGATCAGAAGGAAAGTCAGGATGATGAAAGTGAGAAAGGCGAGACATGGAGAAAGGAGTGACTGAGCAATTTTCAAGTGGAAAGAGATGGCAGGACATAAATGGGGGCAGAGAAGAAGAAACTTTGGCAGAGAGTGGGCTCAAAGAGACAACAAAGAAGGATTGGAAAGAAACGGAGAAGATATGAGCGAAGTCATAAAGAGAGAGATTTGGAGGGAGTAGTAGAAAGACAAAGCAGAAGAGAGGAGAGTGGAAAATGGTTTGGACTGAGACGGTGAAATTGGAGAGAAAAGAAAAGGAAATCTTAGAGTGAGGTGTATGAACTGTAAACTTTAAAGATAACAAAATAGGCTGGTATTTGATTTATATGATTAACATGATCTGTATGACCTGTATGATTTGAATGTATTTGTCTATCAGAGCACTGTCTTAAGGAGATTGTGGGTATAAGAAATCAAAAAGGAGGCTTTCTCCTTCTTTAATTTGAAATAACTTGATGGTATAGTTATCTTGACTAAATAGGTTTATTGGGTTAAGGAACGTAGTGATAAATAATCTTAGAGTAGGATATTAAGAGTTTAAGAAGAATATATATTGTTGTTAGTATAGAGAATCTAAACCTTGACGCCTCTTTTATTGTATAAAGGAGAAACTACAATACATTGTGTATAGAAATGGAAAAGGGTGTTTGAGTAAGATATATAGAGATACATGCAGATATAGATCTTTCAGTTGATAAATACCTGACTACTGGATTACTGCTCTAAGTTAAAAGTGAATTAAGAAATTAAAAAGGGTGTTTTTTTGTCTTTCCTTCTCTATTGGAGTGATATTTGAGGTTATAATTAGTTTGATTAAGTATTGTATATTGAACTAAGGAAACATAGTGATAAATAAGTTTTGATTACAATATTAAGAGATTAAGGGGAGCGTATATCCCCTTATATATTATATATAAAGGGAAATTAGATTCCCCCTTTTATTATAAATAAAAGGAAAAAAAGAATAAATTTAATACATTGTGCATAAGCAAAGGCAGGAGGGCTTTTTCTGAGTAGGATATTGTTAGATATATAGTGATATTGACTTTGAAATAGAGAAAGGGATAACAACCGGTGCTAATTCAATATAGTTATAATAAAGAGATTTGAAAAGAAGAAGGAATAAATTGAAAGTAAGAGATTAGTTTAAAATATATTGTAAAGGAGATAATAAAATAGGTAGAAATAAATAGAGCTTGAAAATAAGACAAGTGCCATGACATCAGCCTGGAGAACAGCAAAGAAGACAACATTTAGTCCAACAATGACAATTACATCACCTGCCAGTCAAAAGGCAATTGAAGGAATGTCAGGAGCAAAAAAACAAACTGTAAGCCAATATGCAAACAATACAGGCTTCGTTAATGACCATAGTGATAGAAGATAGCAAGAAACCATGCTTAAAAAGCAAGAACAACAGATACAAACACAAGAGAATATTTTGCAAAATCATATGGAAGTGAAAGGCAGTATTAATAAATTAAAAGACAAAATTGATACGATACAGCAAAAGAACGAGCAGAAACTAGAAGAGGTGGAACTTAGAACAGTACAAAATGAAAAGTAATTGGAACTAATGGACAACAGGATGATGAAAATAAATAAAAGATTAGAAGAACAGATTATCCACCTAGAGATGGACCGCGCTGCCTATTACTTGAGGTTTCAAAATATTATTGAAAGTAGAGACATATTCTGCAATTCTTTTTCCAGTTTTTTATAATCATCTTCTAAAGCTTTAATAGTTTGCCTCTTCCTAATATTCTTTTTCTTTGTATAATCCATTATTAATCCTCTCGCATATGCCTTCATTGTATCCCAAACATTCTGCATTGAAGTATCTTCTTTTTTATTTTCACTGAAAAAGAAAGCCAATTCTTTGCCCATCCATTGTGTAAAGTCTTTTTCCTTTAAGATAGCGTTGTTTAATGTCCATCTAGATCTTCTTTGTCCTTTCCATTTAATTGTCATAGGATTATGGTCTGCCCATATACCCATTTCTATATTTATTTCTTGAATGTTAGATATTAGTTCTGATGAAGTCCAAATCATATCTATTCTGGACCATGATAAATGTCTATTTGAATAAAAAGTATATTGCTGGGTTTTACCATTTATTTCTCTCCATATATCTTTTAAATTTAATTCATCTACCATTTTAAAAAAGGGTTTAGGGAGAGTCTTTCTATTTTGTTTTAATGCTGTCGCTGTATAATCCAATTTATTATCTACAATTCCATTAAAATCTCCCATCATAATTATATTGACATGGTCCAGTCCAATTGATTTCATATGTAACTTTTTATAAAATTCTTCTTGTTTATCATTCGGAGCATAAATTGCAACAAGTAGTGTTTTTATATTGTTATCCACTATTTCAACCATTAATACTCTCCCATCTTCATCAGTATAAACCAATTTTGCTGCAATAGTTTCTTTAATGTACAGGACCACTCCTCTTTTCTTACAGTTAGTCAAGGAAGTAAAAAATTTCCCCAGTTTTGGTCTTACCAATAATCGTTGATGTTGTTTTTTAATATGTACTTCTTGTAGGCAAATTATATCAAATTTTAACTTCTCTAATTTATGAAAGATTTTTCTTCTTTTAATAGCAGAGTTCAATCCATTTATATTCGTAGAAATCAATTTTTTTTCCTCCATGGTTATGTTTTATATTTAGGTCTAACAGTTCTTGTAGATCTTACTTCACGTTGTTCTTTGGTGTCCATTTGTCCACCTACCGCACCTTCTTCTTTCCCCGTTCTCATCTGGTCTTCTTGAGGCTCAGTTGAAATGGTCTCTTTTTCTGTCTCTATTTCTCTTCTTCCAAAAAATTCATTGTAGAATATTTCTGCTTTCTCAATTGAGTCGATTCTGTGTCTCTGTTCTTGCCATATAAACATTAATCCTTCTGGGATCAACCATCTATAATTCACGTCTTTTTCCAATAATTTTTTGGTCAAAAATCGATATTCTCTTCTCATCTCTCTTACTCTTCTGGGCACTTGTTTTAAAACCATAATCTCTTGCGACTTGTAATCTTAATAGTCTTTTTAGTAAATCTGACATGGATCTCCCTTGGTAGATTATTCCTCATCGCATATCTTGTGAAAACACGATATATCTCATCTACTCCGTCCATCATCTTTTCCTCTGTTATCTCCAAAGCTCCAGCCAGAATTTCTATCATTACAGCTGCCAAATCTTGTCCTTTTTCTTCCTCTATATTTTGAAATCTGAGATAGAATTCTGACCTATCCATCTCCCACTTCAACATCCCAGTTATATCTTGTTGCACCATTGTTAATTTGCTAACAATATTTCCAATTGTCTCATCTCTTTGTTTGTCTTTCTCCTCAATTTTTTGGAGTCTCTCCTCCTGTTTCCCATTTGTTGAAAATTTTCAATTTTTTCATCAGTCTTTGCAATTCTTTGTTCAATACTCTCTGTTCTTTGGTCAATACTCATTTTGAGTTCTTGTATTCCTTGTATAATCGTCGCTAGATCCATTTGTACTTTATCTTGCTTCGCCATTATTGATAGTCATCCTCCAGTTGATGGAGAAGCAGGAGCAGAAGTTGAACTGCCAGAAGGTAAGGTTTTCTTACTCATTTGAATAACTCAGGATCTTTAAGCTCCTTTAATCCAATTAATAGGGTAGCCAATTATAATCCAATTGGGAAGAAGAAAAACATTAAAAAACCAGTAAAAAATAAAGAGTCCAGGATTAAAAAGAGAAGGAGAAAAAGAAGATTAAAAAGAAAAAGGAGGAGATTCTTCAGGTTCTTCTAAACCTTAATCCTATTGTGGAATAGTCAATTATGATTCAAAAATAAAAATTAAGAATAGTAAAAAAGAAAAAGAAAAAGAGAGTAAGACCCAATAATATTAAAAAGCAATGATAAAAAAAGAAGAGGAAAAAGAAAGAATTCTTCAGGTTCTTCACACCTTAATCCAATTATAAGGTCTCAAAAAAATAAAAAATAACCATAAAAATAAATAAGAAATGAAAGTAGAGATGAAGATCTGAATGTGCTTATGGCAGAATTACTTGCTCCAGCTCCAAAGGGAGACCTGAGAGATCCCGCTAGAAATCAATGAGGCCTATAGAGTTCAAACGAGTTACACTCGATGTAACAGGTTACCCAGGGAAGTCCACATGCGATTTGCCAGGAAACAAGTATGTGACATAATATACAAAATAATGCGAGACGAACCTTTGGTTTATAAAGATAAAGAAGTGCAAACCCTGAAGCAGGTTCCCAAGAAGGTGCATGAACAGAGAAAAGACTATAAGTTTTTGGCAACACAAGTTATCCAGAAGAACATAATGTTTCAATTGTTAATTCCAGAAGGCTTGTTGGTAACATGGCAGGAAAAGAGGATCAGGATAGATAACTTAGGCAAGGCGCAAGATTTCTATGAGCAGATTGGAGGAACAGAAGAAGAAAGCAGTGGTAGAGAGGAGCTAGAAACAGAAAGCCAAGAAGAACAACAACACCAAGATATAGGAGGCCTAGAACAAGAAGGAGAGAACAAGGAGGAGATGGAAGGAAGAAGATTAAGAACACATTCGCAAAGAGAAACTAGAATTAACAGAAGACAGATAATATCCCACAAATAGAAAGATGGAAATGGAAACAAAGCTATTATCATTAAACATAAATGGTCTAAACTCACCCATTAAAAGGAAACAGATACTATCTAGATTAGCCAAACAGAAATTAGAAATAGTATGCCTGCAAGAAGTTCATATTAAAAAACCATTCTGGAAATGTTTAGAATATCCTAAATTAGGAAGGTTATTTGCAGCCCTGGAAGATCAAAAACAGAAAGGGATAGTGGTATATGTCAAAAAAGAAATTAAGGCAGTAGAAAAATATGTAGACCCACAAGGGAGAATTTTGATACTTGAACTAGAATTAGGGTACAAGCCAATGTTATTAGTTACAGTTTATGCACCGAATGACAACCAAAGTCAATTCTATAAGGATTTACATGAGAGAATCGTTGAGATGGGACAAGATAATGTATGCATTGTGGGAGATCTTAATGCGGTAATAGATATAAGGAAGGATTATTTTAGTAATGCAAAGAACAAAAAGAATAGGAAAAATTTGCCCAGATGCTTTTTCAATATGACACAGTAACTAAATTTGATAGATCAATGGAGGAGAATAAATTTGGGAAAAAAATAATTCACGTTCTACTCTAACCCACACAAATCGTGGTCTAGATTAGACATGGTGTGGATGAATGCAGAACTAGGAAACTAGATTTGATAGAGATTATGACAAATGTATGGGCTGATCATAACCCATTAAAAATAACTTGGAAAGGAAGGAAAAGGAAGAGTAGAAGATGGATACTTAGTCCCCAAATTTTAAAGGAGAAGGATTTTGTAGAGAAAATTAAGAAAGAAATGCAACTTTTTTAAAGGAAAATACAGTGGAGCAAACATCATTACAGAATTTATGGGATACAGCAAAGGCAGTCTTGAGGGGGCTGGTAATAGCATATACAATGAAAAGGAATAAGGAAAGATGGCAAAATCAGAATAAATTACAGAAGGAGATTAAAGACCTAGAAAGTAGATTACAAAAAAACCCACAAGATGAAAAATTGAGGAGAAAGATGATTCTTACTAGGCATAAATTGAACATTATAAATCAGGACGAGAGAGTTAAAGAGGTGAGAAGAGCAAAACAGAATTTTTTCGAACATGCAAATAAACCAGGGAGGTGGTTAGCCCATAAATTAAGATTAGAAAGAGAAAGAAGGTTGATACAAGAATTGGAGGAGCATGATGGAAAATTAGAATATCGAATGACTGAGAAAAAGAAAATAGTAGAAAAATATTTTGAACAACTATATAGGGTGGATGGAATAAACCCTGAGAATATAGAACAATATTTGAAAAGGAGAGGTCTCCCAGAAATTAGAGAGGAACAGAAAGAGATATTAAATAAAGAAATAACAGTGATGGAATTGAAAAGGGCAGTTGAAAGGCAGAAAGATAATAAGATGCCAGGGCTGGATGGTCTTCCAGCGGAACTGTATAAATGTATTTATGAATGTCTTGAACCAGTGATGTTAGATGTGTACAATGAGGTGTTAGATTTTGCTAAATTACCCGATTCATGGAGAGAAGCGAATATCTCACTAATTCCTAAAGAAGATTTAGATCACAAATAGATTAAAAATTATAGACCAATCTCATTCCTGAACACAGACTATAAAATATTCGCAACAATAATGTCAGAAAGACTAAAATTATATTAAATGAACCTATTCATATTGACTAGAATGGTTTTCTACCTTCTAGACAGATAAGGAACAATATAAGGATAGTATTAAATGAATTAGGATACTATGAGGCCCACCCGGGAAAGCAGGCAGTGTTGATTTTCTTGGATGTTCAGAAGGCTTTTGACAATCTCAGCTGGCAGTTCTTGATCCAACAGGTTGAAAATATGGGATTTGGATCTAAATTCAAGAAAATGATTGGCAAAATTTATTTGAACCAAAAAGCTAGGGTAATTTATAAATGGGGAGATTATTGAAAACTTTAAGATTATGAAAGGTGTTAGGCAGGGATGTCCAATGTCGCTTCTGCTTTTTATCTTGACCATTGAAGTGCTTTTAAATCAGATTAGACAAAGAAAGGAGATAATTGGACAGAAGAGCAAAAAAGAAGAATATAAAGTACAGGCGTTTGCGGATGACTTAGAGTTTTTGGTGGAAGATCCAATGGAGTCAGGGACCTATCTAATCCAAGAATTAGAACAACATGGGGCAGTAGCAGGATTACAAATTAATAAAGATAAAACAAAAGTAATAACCAAAAACTTGATAGAAAGTAAAAAAAAAACAATTGGAAAGGAAATTGGGACTACAAAATGTCAAAAAACTTAAGTATCTAGGAATTTGGTTAACAGGAAGATGCTCTTCCATAAAAGAGGATAATTATATGAAATTACTTTCACAGTTAAAGAAAGATCTGGCCAATTGGGGAAAATTACAACTGTCACTATTAGGCTGAATGGTGGCCATAAAAATGAACATACTACCGAAACTGTTGTACTGTTTTCAAACAATATCTATAAAATTGGATAAGAAATATTTTCTGGAATTAGATAGGACGGTAATGAAATTTATATGGATGGGGGGAAAAGCACGAATAAAATTGAAAATGTTACAAGATAGTAGAACCAGAGGCGGCCTTGGACTCCCAAAATGGGAAACATATTATCAAGCAGCAATTTTACTATGGGTTAAGGAGTGGATTTTGGCAATAGAAGGTCATGATCTCCAAATTGGGTGGCGTGCCTTTCTATGGGATAAAAGGAATAAGATCCACTCCTATTTCCATAGACATTTGATAAGGGACTCACTTTTACAAACATGGGTGAAAATAAAAAAGCATTATTTGAAAAGACCAAACTGGATCTCACCTATAGAAGCTATATTATATCCAAATACAAGGGACATTAAAAAAAATGATTAGATAGAAAGAATTGGTAGATGAACAGGGGGAATTAAAAACACTGGATAAACTAAAAGAACAAGGGATAATATTAGACTGGTGGGTATATTTGCAAATTCAAACTAAATTTAAGAAAGATGTAAAGGAGCTAGGGATAGATAAAGATTTACAAAAATTGGACCAAATCTTGACAGGCAAGGATATAAAATTTATAACATGAACATATAATTATTTACTGGAAGTAGAACTAGAAGAGGAAATTGTTAAGGGACCAATGATTGCCTGGGCGAGAAATGTGGGTCATAATATAAATTTGGATGAGTGGGAAAAGACTTGGACCGAGAACTGGAAGCTGACTTTGTCAACAGCATTCAAAGAAAATCAATATAAAATGCTTTGTAGATGGCACTTAGCTCCAGCATAGCTGGTGAAAATGTATCCAATTTTGAAATCAGAATGCTGGAAGTGCAAACAAAAGAAAGGAACGTTTTTCCATATGTGGTGGCAATGTATAGAGGTCAAAAAATACTGGAAGAAAATATAGAGATGGCTTTTTGAGATTACAAAATATAAATTGAATTTGGAACCTGAAACATTTTTATTAGGTATGATCAAAGGGAATTTGAGTAAAGATAAAAGATACCTTATTGTACACATCTTAACTACAGCAAGAATCATATTAGCACAAAAGTGGAAGAGTGATAAAATACCACCAGATGAAGTTTTGATTCAAAACATAATGGCCTGTGCTGAACTAGATAAATTCACTATGGAACTGAAAGTCAAAGAGGATCGAGAATACTATGCGACATGGGAGAGGTGGTACGAATGGGTGAAGGATAAGGATAAAAATAATGTATAATCACAAAATAAGAAACATGTATATACAATGACACAATAACTATTAATGGAAATGAGATTTTTGTATTTTCTGTTTTTAAAGAATAATTTTTTTAAAAAAAATTCAGTCAAACTCACAATTTCTCAAGATTGCTGGTGTTAATAATGTACTTTGGTGCTAAAGTATTTTGGCATTTTGTAGCTGCCTCCTTAAAGAAGGGAGGTTTGAAATATTGTATAGAGGAATAGAATTGTATCCTGACAATATTGTCCAACCTGCTGTTTTCTAATGGCTAAAAGGAATGTGTTCCAAAGACAAATCATTAGATTCTGGAATAACATAGCACAGTAATAGCAATTGGGTCTCCTAGATAAATTTTTTTTGCTATCATGCAATTTATGCAAAATCTTAAATAAAATTTAAAATGTATGAGAGTCTCTTATGGATGGACACATATTTCTATAGTAGATGGAAGAGCTAGATGGAAGTCTGTACATGTAGACTGACCTGACTGGAGTGATTTGAAGAATAAGAATAATAACAAAGAGATCCTCAGAAGAAGTCTTTTGGTTACTTTGATATACTTTTGACAAACCAGAGATAGCTATTGTTCAACTGCTAAGGAAAAAACATATTACAACCAGGGACATCCTCAACAATAGTCAATGAATTTAAAATGGTGGAATCAAAGTTTCATTCCAGTTTATAGCAGGAATTGTACACATTGCACAGACATAAAAAAGACAGTGACTGATTGTTCAATCATGCCTGCTATTTTGAAACCATGACTGTTGCTACAGATATCCCAAATCCCAGTGAGGGAAGCTTGTCCTCTTTGGATTCCTCATATGTAGGTGGCATCTATGAGAAGTTTCCATTGTGTAACTCTCACAAAGAAAATGAATTCTAAGGAACATGTTATGATCTGAAAAGTAGGTGTGTTATTCTGAGTTTGTCTCTCAAAGGGCTTTATATGACTTAACTAACAGCTGTTGAGTAGCTCTATCATTTGAGAAGATCTACCAAGGATTGTTCAAGCATCATCTCCTTATCCAATGAAGGTTAAACTTCACTATTGGTCATCTTTGAATTCCCACAAGGCAGAACAGAACCAAAGACATGTTTAGACAAACACCCTGGAGACTCATTTAAAATATTCCATATCCTTTTCCTTTATTTTGCTGGATGCTGCAAATCTGTGCTGTATGTTTGTCCAACCGAAACATCCTTGCTTAGCTTTGTTGATTTAAGAAACCACATGTGTCACTAAAAATAAGTCTGGAAGAAATATCTTTTTTGTCTCTTCGTGTTTTTGCGGCATGTATTTTCATTACAGCTGCTGACTAATTGTCATCTTTTTAAAATGATGTAAATTATAAACTAAAAAAAGAAAAGAAAAGAAACCTTCCCCACATGGACATGCATTTTTAAAAATCAATCCCTGCACAATAACTCAAGACCCGATACTCCAAAATTTAAGGTATTTGAATTTCATTTAGCAATGTCTTCTTTTATATTTGGTTGCTCTGCCAGAATTGAAAAGTCATCCTGATGGGTGAGCTCCCCACCCCCAGTCCATCGCTTGATTTAGAGTAGGCCTGATTAAAATGAATTATTCTGAAATATATCCTTTGGAAATTGGGCATCATTGTACTCTTGATACACTGAAGCCTAGGAACTTTTCTGCAGTCACTTCTTCTCAGGGATGGGATTCAAATGTTTTAACAATCGGTTCTGTGGGCATGGCTTAGGTGGTAGGTGGTCATGAGACTGGGTGGACATGGCTTGGTGGTGATGTTATTGGCTGGATGTGGCCAACTCAATATCACTCACATCGAGGCATGCATCTGCTCACCTGGCCTCTCATGACTGTGGGGATGCTGCAAGTGTGAAAAATGGTCATAAGTCACTTTTTTCAGTGCCACTGTATCTTTGAATGGTCACTCCACACAAGCAAAGTACCAGCAAAGGAAGGGGAAAAAAACTCCAGAGATGTTCCTGAGACAGGAAGTCTAGTCCTGCCAAGAATATATTAAGGGTTAGCATAGAGGCAGTTTCTGTAAGCAACACCAGAATGTTTCCTTCCTGCCTTCCTTACAGGATTAGGGCAGTAATTTCTTCTAACAACTGGTTCTCCAAACTGCTTAGAATGTTAACAACCGGTTCTAGTGAATAGGTGCAAACTGGTAGAATCCCACCCCTGACTGCAGTACTATAATAGCATAGTTTAGGTTGTTTGTTTTAAATATATTCATGAATTAATTAGGCATTCTCTATTCTATTTTACTCTACTCTGCTCTACTCAAAAGCTGGTGACAAAAAGACATGACTGGATTATAGTTGGGATGTTTCTGTATGCATCAGCCATGACACCAACTATAAGTGCTGGGAATTTAGAAAATCTTTCCATTTTTTATTCTGCTAATGGATACTATTGTAGGCTTAACAATTTTTATTAAGCCAATGAATAATATTGTAGATATAAGCAGCCCTGGTGGTGCATTGGTTAGAATACAGTATTGCAGGCTAACTCTGCCCACAGCCTAGAATTTGATCCTCGTGGAGCTCAAGGTTGACTCAGCCTTCCAGCCTTCCAAGGTTGATATGAGGACCTGGATTGTTGGGGGCAATATACTGACTCTCTAAAAAAAGAGTGTAGTAAAATACCGTGGGATAGTATATAAATCTAAGTGTCAATGTTAATTAACACTTAGACTTGTATACTACTCCATAGTACTTTACACTTTGTTGTTATTCAAACACTTTGTACCATTTCTTTATAAGAGATTGGGATACAGAAGAAGGAGATACAATGAAGAGGCAGTGGGGACTCTACTTTAGAGAGATTTTAGCAAAAATCATCACATTATGACATAACAACTTATCACAAAGTCTTCACAGTTATATGTTTGTGATTTGTATTTTGCAGACTTACAACAGTTTCTTGACTCTCCTCATTCACAAGAGGAAACTCAAGAGAGATTTATTATTTAAACCAGTATTCTGACTAATCAATTTCGTATTGGGTTCTAAAAGCAACAAGCCAAAGAAATCATTCTCAGGAGATGCAAGAAAATGTAGCATAGTTCATTGAAAGGGTACCCCATTAAGTGTGGGTGTCATGTAAAACCCTTGAGATCAAAAGAAGGAAAACATATACTCAACAATGTTGTGAAAATGGCATTAGGTCCATTTCAGCTCTAAAGTCCATTTCATCTATAAGACTATGGAGAAGAATGCTGGAAAACGTTGCCTTAATGATTTAAGATTGATAGGGTAGATTACATGGCAATCATAGAACTGTTTGTAATTTAGACTTAGGCCATGTAAAAATTTAAATGCCACCATGGACCTCTAGAATTGGGTTTAGAAGGCATCTTGCATCTAGTAAAGATGCTTCAAACTGAGTAAACCTGAGACTCCCAAGAGTAGCACCTCACCCACTCTTTGATGATGTTAACTTTGCCAGTTAATACCTTCACTTTCCAGCAGTTCAATGGTCCAATGGTCCAGTATCCCCCTAACAATATTTCTCCCTACCAAATCATTATGCAATGAAGAGCCCTTGCTCTTGTTCCTCCCTGAAGGTACAATCCTAAAGTGACAATATTTATTTATTTATCAAACATGTATAAGATAACATGTATAGGTATGACAATCAACATGAACAAAGGAAGTAAATACAGATAAATGGGGATAGTAAGACAGGGATGGTAGGCACACTGGTGTGCTTATACATCCCCCCTTTAAGAACCTCTTAGGAATAGGATGAGGTCCATGGTAGACAGTTTGAGATTGAAACTGTGAGGGGTTGAGGCTGTAACAATGGAATCAGGTAGAGCATTCCAGGCATTGACCACTCTGTTGCTGAAGTCATATTTTCTGTAATTGAGTTTGAAGTGGTTTATCTTGAGTTTGTATCAATTGCTTGCCCATATATTATTGTGGCTGAAGCTGAATAAGTCATTGACGTTATTTTATTTTGGTGTTGGAAGGGCATCTCATCGGTTTGATAGTGAATGCAGCTCACATGTGTATGGAGCGGTACTTTTTACCATTACACCTTCAACAGTGATCTACCA